CCTTCATCATGTACTGATTTAGGAAAATATAAAAGAATATAAAAAGCCATGGCTACTCAGAGTTCTTTCCCTTTGCTCACATCACACACACACACACACACACACACACAGATATCCCTCACTAGCTCAGCATATATTACCCCCATCATTGTCACAGTACTCCTAAAACTTGGGCAGAAATATAGTTATACTAGAGGCCCAGTGCACAAAAATTTGTGCACTGGTTGGGGAGGTGGAGTAGGGGGGTGTCCCTCAGCCCCACTTGTGCCCTCTCACAGTCTGGGACCCCTCGGGAGATAACCACCTGCTGGCTTAGGCCCAATCCCTCGGTGCACCCTGCCTGCAGTATGCAAATTAGCCTCCATCTTTGTTGGCGGTTAATTTGCATATTGCGCGGATTAGCCCATGGGAGGCATAGCAAAGGTACGGTCAATTACCATGTTTGTCTATTATTAGATAGGATGGCAGAACTTAGAGAGGCCCAATGTTGAGGACTTGATGATGTTTGTAGATTTGTCAATATTTGAAATGTAATCTAATAACCTAGTCAAGTAATAGATTAGCTGGGATAAGCAATGAGGTTCAGAATGAGTATCCTAGTAACTGAGACCACAATGAATTATATCTACCACATCCCTGGCCCTTTAAACAAGGATGGTCCACTTTCCCTTACAGGGGACACAAAAATGTTCAGTCTAGCAATAGCATCCCATCTGCCTATGTACCCAACCTATCCACTGATTCCTTTATCTACTGCCCTGGCTCTTTCATTCTTTAGCTTCATCATGTTTAGACTTCTGCAGGGTACCTCAGGTCCTCCTTCTTTGGACAATCCCACCTGGACCCACTTTTCTGGTTTACTGACCTTGATCCAGACCATTTGACTCTCAATTTGTTCATCCTATAGCCCTTGGCGTCAATGCAAGTGCTGTTCCCCACTCCTAGGAGGATATTTCTATGCCAGTTCCAGCCCCAAAGACACCCACGTGGGGGAGGGATTGGATAAAGAGGAAAACAAAAGCAGATCAGTTTTAAAAAGTACTGGCCTTCAGATGGCACCCGTGGATGTGGCATGTTTAAGAACAACATTAGTATGCAGACTTCCGTGGGGTCAGGGTACATAGGCTAGGACAGTTATCATACTGATTATACTAATCCTACACTAAGAAACTAAGTCTTCAGAGAGAAGGAAGGGGAGGGTAGGAAGGGGGGAAGGGTAAGAGATCAACCAAAGGACTT